TGTTGGGCTATATTGCATTGAAATTTTAATTTTTCCATCATAAACATAGCACATACTTGTCCTAGATTGGAAGATACAGGAAAGTGTAAAGAAGAAAAAATATATTACCCTTATTTGCCACCTTAATCTGAATGCCCTGTGTTTTGTGGTTGACATGAAAAATAACTTTTTTCAATTAAAATATGTAATACTTTGTAGAAAAAAAAAAAGAAAGAAAGAAAACCAAAATCACTCGTAGTCTTAAAACCTAGAGGTAACCAGTATTAACAATTTGGTAATTTGAAATACCTTTTCCAGCCTCATGGGAGACTGAAAAACAGCAGGATTTAAATGATGATGAATGGCAGATGAGCTATGAATTAGGGCTGCCCATCATGTGAACAGATTCTGTGACTTAACAACAATAGTGAGGTCATGAAGTTTCTATCCCTGAGCATCTTTACAAATTGCATAGATATGTTTTAGTCTTTCCCAATTCTGCCTGAACAGGATCCAACTACTATTTAGGGCTCGTTGAATGGGAAATTTGTCCTCAGAGATTTTCCCCAATAAAGTAATTGTTGATATAGTCATTCATTCAACAGACTGAGTGCCTACCATGTGCCAATACTGTGACAGATGTTAGGGAAATGATGATGAACCAAGTAGAGGCTAGCACGAGCACAGTCACTAAACCAAAAGTCATACAAAGAAGTGAAATGTGGGGGCCGGCCCGGTGGCGCACTGCTACAGTGCGCCGCTTGGGAGCGCGGTGGCCCTCCCACCGAGGGTTCGGATCCCACATACAGACCGGTTCCCGCTCACTGGCTGAGCGATGTGTGGGCGCAACACCGAGGGTTGCGATCCCGTTGCCGGTCCCGGTCCGGTACGGGCGCGACACTGAGGGTTGCGATCCGTTGCCGGACACGAAAAAAGACAAAAAGGGAAAAAAAAAAAAAAAAGAAGTGAAATGTGGGAGGGACCAGGAGAGGTACACATTCGTTTGATCATCTACTGTGCTGGAAGTTTAGCACATTTGTTCTCATTTAATCACCTGGGACCTGGGGGAAGGTAATTTGACCTCTCTGAACTTCAACTTCATATGAGAATGGGGTTAGAGTTATGGAGAGAGAACATTCATTAGAGGGATAAACCCTGTTCCAGGGCTTGGTTCACTAAAGTATAAAGGTGAGGCACTTTTTACATTTTAGGCACTAAAACTAAGGAGGCAGAGAGCTGGTATTTAGTGAGTGTGTACTGTGTGCCATGGTGCTTTACAGAGATCCCATTTAATCCCAATTCTACCCTTTAAATTAGCTGCGTACCTTGTTGTCCAAATGATGGCACTAAGTCAATGAGCAGTTTCATTACTTGCCCATGGGCCACAAAGCTGCAGAAAGACTGTGAAGAGAGTCAAACCCAGGCCTGCTGAAATATAGAGCCAATGATAATATATTGTCTCATAGTGAGGTTCAGGGGTTTATATGTCCTCTTGGGAATTCCTGGGTGTCTGCTGGTGGCCTGTTTGTAAGTTGGATTCTTGAATGTGTGCTTTGCTCACAACCATGCAGTTTGAAAACAGTGACTCATCTCCAAACTGGGCAGGGCTGAGTATCAGTCCTGTTTATCTTACACTGCTGTTGACTTCAGAAGATAATTCGTAATAAAGGTGCTGTGAAACACCGATGAGCAATATTAAGTCTTTTGCTCCTATCTGAAGTATTTTTTTAAAAAAGCACTGTGATAAAAACAGAAACACACACACCCAAAAATGTATAGGTTTATTTTTTGGTGCTTCTGACAAGAGAATAAACTCATGAGTCTTATGAACTAAACAAATAAAAACAAAAACACAACTACTTAAAGTTTAATGACTAAAGCCAACATTCCAACCCATATGAGTGGTCTTCAAAAAGTTCATGGAAAGATTTGTATTATCACTTAATTCTATTTTTCCACAAGTTTCTTGAAGTACACTCATATCTTGTACAGTCCTCTGAACATACTCTCTTTTCACACTTAACTATGATGTTGTCATTAGTTTCTGTTTGATTCTGCAAGGGCAGAGACTTTGAAATATTCACATCTGGATTCCTCCATAGCTTGACACAACTGTGAGAGTCAGGCAGTGTTTGCTAAAATAAAGGCGTTTCCACAGTGCTTGTATTAGCTTTTTTTTTTTGCTGCTGTAAGAAGTTACCACAGATTTAGTGGCTTAAAACATTCATTTATATCTCATACTTCCTGGGAGCCAGATGTCTGGACAGTGTGGCTCAGCTGGTTCTCTGCTTTCAGTCTGACAATGCTGAAATCAAGGTGTCTAAATTCCTTTCTGAAGCCTCTTGGGGAGAATCTGCTTCCAAGCTCAGTCAGGTTGTTAGAATTCAGTTCCATGAGGTTGCAGCACTGAGATCCCTGTTTCCTTGCTGGCTATTAACAGAGCTTGTTCTCTATTCTAGAGGCTGCCTAACTTCCCTGGCTTGTGGCCACCTTCAAAACCAACGACAGTGGTTGAATTCTTCTCAAACTTTGAATCTAATTCTTCTGTCTCATTTCTCCAAAACATCTCTTCTGCCTTTCTTTTCTGCTTTTAAGGGTCCATGTGATTACACTGGACCCTCCAAAATAATCCAGGATAATCTCATATTTTAAGGTCCTTAATTCCACCTACAGAGTCCTTTTTGCTATGAAATGTAATATATTTACAGGTTCTAGGGACAAGGGCTTTGACAGTTTGGGGCCTACCACAGTGCCTGTACTAAACAGGCAAATTTTAGGGTGAATCTTCTCTAGTTACTCCTTAGAGATCAGAGGGGTTGTGAAGCTACTCACGAAGACATTTGAAACAAGCCAAAAGACTGTCAAATGTCAGCTGTAGATTGAAAAAAAAGTTATAAAAATCCTTTATAAAAAAAATTAAGTCAAACAATTTTTTGAAGGAGTGTTGTTCCTCCTCCTTCCCTCTTAGGGTGAAGCTAGAAGGGGAGAGATTTTTAAAACGTGCCTTACTTCACCTCTTGCAGTCTATGCACTTTGCAGGATTTTGTTTACTGGACGTGAAAGTATTCTGGTGTTAGGGGTTGGGCTGCGATAAGTCTTCTATCAGCACTGGCTGTCTCCTATGCACTAGCACCAGGGAGCGGTGGGTGTGTTTCTGCACCCAGGGAAATCTTTCAAATGTGGCCACTGATCCTGCTTTCATAGCTTTTAGGAGCTGGCCATTAATTCAGTTCGGGACTGATTCTAGAAATGTTTCTGGACATTGATTCAACAAATAGGCACAGAAAACCTATGTGCTGGGTGCTCTGAACTTCATTTAACGAAGATTCTGAAACGGAGGCTCAGAAAGGATAAGTACATGGTCCATTGTCTCTCGGCTGGTAATAACAGCTACCATTTACTAAACATTTGCTCTATGCCAGGAGCCAAATCAAATGGACCTAATAATGTCAGGCCCCGTCCCCTTCACACCATCCACCAATTGCCGGGTGTTTTATGTTAATTTTAATCCCAATAGTGCCGAGTGCTGTGAGATATCAGACTAATGTAGATCAGAACACTGACGCTCAGAGGCGGTGAGCCGACACCCAGGGAGCGACTGGGCCAGGATTCCGGTCCAGATCCGTCTGACTCTAAGGCCTGAGCTCTCTCCAGGGTACTGCCTTTAAAAATACATTCAAGTATATTCTGGTCAGTATGGACTCAAAACCCTACCAAGTTCTTTACCCGTCACCATATCACCAGGTTCACCAAGTGGTAAGAGTGCTCTAGGCTGCAGGTGCAGCCGCTGCAAATACATAGCGGCATTAAAGCATAGGAGGAAATAGGGAAGCGTCTAGGTCCGTCAATCGTTGAATAACCGTTTTACTGGTATGAATGTTTTTTTGTCTCATTATTATGCGGCAGTGAGTCATTCAGAGGCAGACCAAAAGGGAAAGTCCTGCCTCTCGTCACCTACGAGAAGTGTAGGTGAGAACCGCTTAGGCGGGAAAGGGCACAACGTAGAACCTGGGAGTCGAGCTACCAATTCTCGATCCTCACTCTCACCGGCCCGGCGGCCCGAGGCAAGAAGGACCGAAAGGGTTAAGCTTGGGGAGCCCAGCCACCGCCTCTTCCCAGCATCGCTTCCCAGAATCCCTCAGGCCCCCAGCCAGTTCCCGCACCTCGCGAGACTCCGCCCAGTCCCTTCCCCGAACGACTGTTCGTCCCCCTTCCTCTCCGAGCTCTGCGCGAGGCGGCAGCCGAGAGGAGGAGGGCGGAGAGGTGCCGCAGGGCACGCCGGGAAGTGTGGTCCAAGGGCTTCCCACAGCCATATTCTTCCGGAGCGGGTGAGGCCAGAGAGGCGGCCGGGACTACGACTCCCAGCCGCCCTTTCGGTTTGTTTTTGTTCAAAAAAAAAAAAAAACCCCCACACTCCCCCTCCTCACTCTTCACACACACTCACACACACCCACGGCAGACACGCACATACCGGGCGCCGAAGAGAAAGCCGCGTCTCGCCATCCTGCCCCACCGCCAGTCGTGTCTCGGTCTCTCAGCTGAGCGGGAAAGCGGAGGCCGGAGCCGTGACCTCTGACCCTGTGGTTATGCAGAGCCGCATTCCTTAGCGATCGCGGGGCTGCCGCCGCCGCCG